ATTTCACGGGACCTCACTGAGTGCAGACACGAGCGAAATACTCGAGCATTTGATTTTAGATCGTCGATTTGACAAGGGTGTCGCTTAGAAAACCCGTTGAATTATTTTTAAAGCCGTGGGTCTGGGACTCCCGCCCTCCAGTCCACCCAGGAAGATTAGCACAGATGAGGTGCCTAAAAATAGTTATCGCCCGACACACCTAGACCTCAGGTCTCGCTGTACCGCGAGATCACAAACCTCAGGCGGGGCGAACATTGACTTTGCGTCAGTAGCGATTGTTGAAAGTTGGCAACACTCTTTTCTCTCCATTTAAATGCAGGTAAAACAATCGATTCTTAATGGGCAGCTTGCCTCACCTAAAATCGATATTTTCAATGGATTTATACGGAGGAAAAAGAATGTTGCCAACTTACCAAATCGCCACTGCTTTTAAGTCATCTTCCTCGCGAATTCCTGGTCAAAAATCAGGACATGAAAAGTTGAAGAGTCCCGGAAAGAAAATGTTGCATCATCCGTCGGTATGCTTGGACAACTTAATGAGTAAGGTGTATGAAACATTTTGCCTTTGAGCGTAAACTAAATGGACATTTAGGTGCTTTAAAGGCTGATTCACGTTAACCTTTATAAATCAAAACGCAGGAAGAGGCGGTAGAGGCGAGTCATGGGCCAATGGCGAATCCCAAATGGCCTGGAGAGTCTGGAGACCATGTCAGTGTGCGGCGCGCGGGAAAAGGCATTACTCCCTCACATGCAACCACACGCGCACACACGTAATGACGGCCTAGTTTCGAAATTCGCCTCAACATAAAGAATTCTCCCTTCTTCATTGAAAAGTCTTGGCAGCTTCCAGCCTGGCGGGCGACCACAGTCTGGAATTAATCCTGGGGTAAGCGCAGTTTACGAGTAGTTTATTAAGCTTAATACCGAGGAAAATAGACGCTCCAGGGATAGCTCCTATTTTAAGCCATTCCAGGAAGAATCCAAAGAAACGTCCGACTTTTCCTCACACGTGGACCTCGGAGCCGGCGACGCGCTGCTGGCCTAGTTACGCTTTCCAAAACAACTCGATACGCTCACCAACCCGACGACGAACCGGGGTCCCTTGTTTTGTTTGGAGCCTTTTTCGGAGCCAACTCCTGGCTGGAGCTCATAAAAACGTCGCCATTTTAATTTATGGAGAGGAAACTTTTTGCTGTCATTAAACTTGGGTATCCTGCGTCGACTCTCGAATGACACAAAGTCGTGGGATTGAAAATTGACGTTTTATTATTTCTTCCGATTTCTCTCCGGCTCTCCCTCCTCGTAGCAGTGGCGAAGCGTGAATGATCGATTATCGATATTTCCTCATTTGAAGTTATGGCAAAGAATCGATTTCTAAGGGGTTCGTTGCCAACAACCAGTTTATCGATGATTTTCCATAAGTTTAAACAGCAGAGTCGATACATCGCAAAGCACGCCACGCCACTGCCTCGTAGCTTAGTGAACGGTAGATGATTTAAGTACTATAAAAGCGATTAGGTGTTTTTGTTTCCTCGACTTTCAACTTTTTAGAAGCTGAAACACTTATTAATGACATCGATATCAAGCAAAATTTTATCGGTTTTTATGATGTCTCCGATAAAAAGGCATCATCGCTTGCCTTGAGGAACCACAGGAATTATCCAGGAGGAATCTAATAAAAAATAAATCGAAATACTATCTGCCGGTGCCAGATATTTCGAAAAATTTGCTTTCTTTGCTAATATTTACACAAAAATGTACACTTGGCTTTACATCAAACGGCGAAGTGTTCATAGGCAATTTTTCGATAAAGGCGCGAAGATATTGGGGTTCTTCCGTTCCCAATAATTCTAACTGCGAGTATACACGACTTCCGAATATTCATTCTGAACTTCTTGTTGGAGCCCGTTACCTTAATTGTACTTCTATGAAACAGGTCCCACTCTCCTTAGGTCGAACAAATCGTTTTATTTTAAACGTTTTAATCGTTTTATGTTAAGTCCGCAAATTTAAGGGAGAAAAATTTTGCGGAGATGATGACAAAAATATTCGCGGGGAAAAATGATAATCAACATGGATTCGGTTCGTTAATTGGATGTATTTATGCTTAATAGTAAAGCATGCAAAGGATGAAATAGGATTTGCATACTGTATGTAATCCCCCCCCCCCTTAATACCCCTGTGACCCTTTGGTATAATTCCTTTTGATTTAAAAGATTTCCTTATGGTTCCATTTAGCATAAAGTCCCATTTAGCCAATGTTGAAGCGACTTTGGATGCAATTCTATTTGTTATGGTGCTGAAATCGATCCCCGCTGAAAGTCTTTTCTTCATGGGCATACTGCAGTCGACTTTCATCGAGTCTATTTTTCATGGGTGCTGTGCATTTCTTTAACGGGGCAATCCAGAGAAAGTATGCACACCCACAAAATAGCAATTGGGAGGAGGCCCAGTAGATATGATGGGTAGGTAAGGTATGATATCCGTGAACCGAAAAGGTAAGGTAATGCAGACTCTAAACTATATTGAAAGCGACCTCTCTCCGAAGAAAGCACTCCGAAATCAAATTATTGTCTTCCAGGTCAGGGGGTTGGGTCATCGGGCTAACTCTTCAATAACCGTAATTTAACGTTTAAAAAAAACCAACAATGGGCCGGTTAAAAACTTTCACGAAAGAGAAAAGAAGTGTTGCTTTTTTAGTAAACAGCAATAAAGATTTAGTGGAGAAAGGTTTACCTTCGCTCCTACACACTACACTGAGAAAAAGCTATGGTTTATAAACCTATTAGTGGTAAATATGGAACACCTATAATAGTCGTAAATAAACTAATGATTCTCGGTCTGTGAACCATACTAAGGTATATGTGCTATTATTATATGTAGAGGTACTACTATTAGTGGTGTTCCATATTTACCTCTAATAGGTTTATAAGCCATAGTTTTTTCTCAGTGTAGGTATCCTAGGCGTTGAACACACTTGATATTTTCGCATTTTTGAGCTTCGCTTTTCAAAACGTATAATATGACACATGTAATTCATGCAAATGAGCCACCTCAAGACCTTGACTTGACTACCGAGTCACTGAGCGCAATATCTAACATGATGTAGCATGGGCATGGGCAACTTCAGTTTTATGCAAGTCAAATAGGACAATAAACGTAGAATTGCCGAAATGCGACTCAAGCCGACCAGCGATCGCACTGCGTTTGGCGCAATGCGTGAAGTATTCCAAGAGTCTTGTAGGCGCTAATATGCCTGCCCAACGACCAGTGACCGCACTGCGTTCGGTGCAATGCGTGAGGTATTTCTGCACTCTTGCGCAATGCGTGAGGTATTTCTGCACTCTTGCAGGCGCTAATGTGCGCTTTGCGCCGACCAGCGGCCGCACAAGTGGTTTTTACAACGCACTGGAGCGCTCTGCACCACCTTACCGTCCCACTTCCCTGTAACACTGTCATAGGGCGTTACATTTTCGACAACTGAGTGATTGATAATATTTTTGTTGTCGTCGTTGAAAATTCCATGATCCCAAAGAATCCCATTCAGCATGTAGATACCTGAGTACAATTTCCAATACGTACCTACCAGCCTACCTGAGTAAATAAATGCATTTGATTGCCAAATTTGGCTGGCTAAGCTGTATAGAACATGGTTATAGAATAAAGATAAAAAATTCGAGCTTCAAGCCAGAATAAACAAGTAACATTTCAAACTACAAATACAAGTATGTGAGAAAAAATATACAAAATGCACTGAAGAAAATCGCAATTTAGACGCAGTAGAAGCGTTTGCTTTGTTTCTTGATAGTTCTATATATTTCCTCATCTCTATGTACTTGTAGCTTAAAATATTGCTTGTTTATTTTGGCTTATAGCTCGTTTTTTAATCTGTAACCATGCAAATAAATGNCCAGCGGCCGCACAAGTGGTTTTTACAACGCACTGGAGCGCTCTGCACCACCTTACCGTCCCACTTCCCTGTAACACTGTCATAGGGCGTTACATTTTCGACAACTGAGTGATTGATAATATTTTTGTTGTCGTCGTTGAAAATTCCATGATCCCAAAGAATCCCATTCAGCATGTAGATACCTGAGTACAATTTCCAATACGTACCTACCAGCCTACCTGAGTAAATAAATGCATTTGATTGCCAAATTTGGCTGGCTAAGCTGTATAGAACATGGTTATAGAATAAAGATAAAAAAATCGAGCTTCAAGCCAGAATAAACAAGTAACATTTCAAACTACAAATACAAGTATGTGAGAAAAAATATACAAAATGCACTGAAGAAAATCGCAATTTAGACGCGGTAGAAGCGTTTGCTTTGTTTCTTGTTAGTTCTATATATTTCCTCATCTCTATGTACTTGTAGCTTAAAATATTGCTTGTTTATTTTGGCTTATAGCTCGTTTTTTAATCTGTAACCATGCAAATAAATGCTTGATACATATACACTGAGAAAAAACTATGGCTTATAAACCTATTAGAGGTAAATATGGAACACCACTAATAGTAGTACCTCTACATATAATAATAGCACATATACCTTAGTTATGGTACGGGGTACCTTAATTAGGTACAGAGACCTTAGTATGGTTCACAGACCGAGAATCATTAGTTTATTTACGACTATTATAGGTGTTCCATATTTACCTCTAATAGGTTTATAAACCATAGTTTTTTCTCAGTGTAGGGAAGAAAATAAAATGATAGTTCTGCCGTGCAAAGGAAGAACGCCGTAATAGTATTCGAGAGTTGCCAAATTTCCCCTGATAAAACGTGTATTTAAGACGCAATTTAAGCATATTTTCCCTTGAAGTTTTCAGGTATTTTAGATAAAATTGCGTACAAAATTGTCCAAAACTTGAAGAGGAAAATATTTGCAAATTTCCCAGTAAATTCGGGTTTTATCGAAGGAAATTTGGCAACGTCTGAAGGCTCATACGGCGTTCTTCCTTAGCACGGCAAAGTCGGTGTGTTGTTGAAAAAAGGATACTTCCACTCGACGACATCGATGCAGAGCTTGCGGAGAGGGTTCTTGAGGGTGAGGCAGAAGAGGGCACGCTGGGGCCGGTCGGGCGGCGGCTTGCCCCCCCGGCGGACGGGCCTCTTGGGCGGCTGTTTGGACTGGTTGTTGTTGTTGTTGTTGTTATTGTTGTTGTTGTTGGTCGTGGCCGACATGCTCGCCGCGGCCGTAGCGATGAGGGCCGTGTGCCACGCACTGCTCAACGGCCGACTCGCGCCGACGACGCTCGCACTCCCCGCACTCGGCGACGCCGCCCCGACGCCAACGCCGGCGTAACTCCCCGCGACTCCTGCACAAGGCACAGGCACAGGGACACACGCGACTCCGACAGAGGGTGCACACCCAGCGACGCTCCCTTTCGCACTCCCGATCCACTTCCCGGCCCCACTCCGCACTCCACCAGAACTGCTGCCCCCAGGTCCGGCCGCAGCCTCATTTCCCCCGTGCCCCGCCCAGCCAGCGTAGCCTGAAACAAAACAAAAAAAAACCCAATCATTAACCATATTCCAAACCAACTCTAACGCACACAAACAAAGCAACAGCAAAAATCGATAGACGATAGCACGATAAGACAAGACATAGCCCTATCTGCGCTGTGTAATATATCGATTTTCGATTCTTGTCGTGCCGACGTAAATTTCAACAATCAGGCTGCTGGCCCGCATACTATTCCAGGATGATGGTATGGGCCCAGGGTGGCAAAATTTCATGAAAAAGAAAATCTTGAAATCACGTGATATATTTCATGAATTTTCAGGTATGTATGAAAGATATTGAAAAATATCGGTTCCTTTGTTTCGTAAATGAAAGAATTGTGACTTTCTTCTTTTGATGTGAGTTCGGGTTTCATGTTTGGAAGAGAGTGAGGTAGACCAAGTACATGCATAGAATTACAATTTATTAAATCAGATGCACTCTCTCTTCCAAACAAGTTATAATAGATGCAATACGCGATCCTTCAAAACCCTCTGTGGGTTTCATATTCTAGCCCCTGAAAAAAATGAAATATTTCAGAGCTTCGTGAAATTTCATGAAATATTTCACTGAAATTTCCAATCTTTCATTTCTTTCTTATGTTTCATGCCACCCTGTATGGGCCTGTTGGGTAACCTGGCCGAGAATCGGACCCGGGACTTCCGGATCATATTTGACAAGCGCTACAACCACCAAACCACAGGAGGCCGACAAAAGGTTGATAATCATACGATTATACGATATTAATCATACGATCATAAGAGCATTGACAAGTTGGCGTCGGCCACGTTGTATATTGCGTAGCATCCTAGTGCGCAAGGGTTGGACGGAACAAGTCCCTCTTATGAAACGTTTACCTGTGCCGTAGTATCGTTTGTGAAGCGGGAGGCTTGAAAGTCACAAGTTTTTTACGCAGATTGTGAAGTGAGGAGTGTACTTCAGACTTTCTCGATGAAATCATCGGGATTTTGAACTTCAGGAAATTAGCTCTCCTTATACATTTGCATACGCACTACACTGCCACGCTACACTGGAAAAAAAGTCGCTTGAATCTACAGTCCAGACTCTTAATAACATCGACAAGAAAAAATACTCTTGATTCAATCGGATTTTCGCTTCGATCGAAAACCAAGCCTCTTAATTTAAGCGGATTTCTTTTTGAGTCAAGCAAAAATCCGATTAAATCAAGAGTATTTTTTCTTGTCATTGTTTTCAAGAGTCTGGACTTTAAGTCCAAGCTACTTTTTTTTCCAGTGTAAGGAAAAACGCCGTATGAACCCTTAGACATTACCGTATTTCCCCAAAGAAAGACCGAATATACTGGGAAAATTTTCTTCGTATCGAAGTATTTTTCTTCGACTTTTTTGGACAGTTTCGTTCGCAATTTAATCTAAAATAAAGGACCATTTCAAGGAATAAAAACGCATGACTTTCCTCAAAAATACGTGTTTTATCTGGGAAAATGTAGCAACTCTTGAATGTTCATACGGCGCGGCGTTCTTCCTTAGCACGGCTTTACAGGTATCTTTTTCCGATGGACAGGCATACACGTAAAAAACCAAACTTTTTCGATTTAAGGTGCGAGTATCACTGGATGAAGTCGTGGCAAATACACCGGTGGACACACCATCCATCATCGGCGCGCTGACAGAATATCACGATAGCGGCGTTCATGTAAAGTTCGTATTAATAAATAACCTACTCGTAAAGCGCGTGAGCTTACCGACCTCAACTGACGTCGACATCATACCTACTATAATTCATGATTGAGCTGACTTATTTTGATAGGCTCCACTTCATGAAGCCGAAGGGAAGTGGCGATCATGATCGGAAACTTAACTCTGAAACTTGTGACGGTTTATGTTTCTACATGGAAACTTATTTTAACAGCTTGGAGTATGTCGTTGTCTCGGTGGAGATGAAAGACTATTGAAAGGGAGAAGATCCATCTGCGATAGATTATTGACGTCTGCTTACTTTTCCACGGTTATAGATGTAGGAATATCAATTGAATTTTACACGGCCGAACAAGATACATATAATAATCCTTGGACCAAAGTGTGAGGCAGCTGATGCAGGGTGTCTGCTTTTTCTTCATTTTGGGAAATCCTGATTTTTCCTGATTTAATAATTTTTACATATCCTGATTTTTTGCGGAGAAAAATTATGCGAATCTTCACAAAAATAGCTCGATAAAAAAATCCGATCGGACGGCCGACTTTTCTCAAGTCCTGATTTTACGACCGACTTTTCCTCAAATCTTGATCCTCAAGATCTTAATACTCAGCCGAAAGCCGGTCAGACCTCTCTGGGATATTCTCACATCAAACTACTCGTTGTTTTAGAGAACGAGTATCTGCTAACAAAATGCATTTGCCACGCGGAGCGCTTGGCGTGGATAGGAAATCGATTCGACGACGAATAGATATGATATTAATTCCGGTGGTCTCGACTCGTCCGGGCGACAACCCGAGCTCAGATTTGGAGAGACTCCAACATCGGACGCAGCAGACTCTTGTCTCACACTGACATGAATAATTACCCATCTCTTCACAAAAAGGGTTCTTCATTGTTGTCAGCTAGGGCTCCGAATCAATGGGTCAGTTGCGCTGGTCACAGAATCGTGTTTTGATGCTCTATCTTAGCAGATTATCTAAAAATAATAAGACCTGTTCAAACGGCAACTTTTTACGTTCAATATAAAACCGGGTTTTTGAAGTCATCCACAGCGGTAGTGACACCTGTGGTTTCTTCCACCTTGCTTTCATCGGTAAGTGTCGCACTGATTACTCAACATGAAACTTGGATGAAAGCAAGGTGGAAGGAACCAAGGATGTCACTACCGCAGTGGAAGACGTCTAAAACCCGACGTTTTAATGGGCGATATCTGGGTTAATATTAAACGTGGAAAGTTACGGTTTGGACAGGTCTTAATATTAATAGCTAGTCTACAAGAATTAAGCATCAAAACTCGATTCTGAAACCAGTGCAACTGACCCATTGGTCGTTCTCAAAAAGGCTCAAGCGCAAAAATTGAAACTTTACGGAAATCCATCGTCATGTACGGGAAAGAATAGGTTACTAGACTTATGATATGATGCATTTTAATGGCTTAAAAAAAAGGGCTGCTAAACTTCAATAACCGCTACTGTCTCCCACTGAGATACTACCCTTCGTCAGCCCTCGTATACTACAGACATTGACGGATCCAGCAGGTTGGCAACAATGTACTTCTCCAATTAAACCTATGAAAATGTATCGTTCTTGAAGGGGCCAGGGTGCTATGACAAAAATCGATTATTTAACAAAGGTTTAAAAGGAGGACATCCTGTGTTCCCAAATTGCTGGAACCACCCCTGGGACGAATTTTGCTTTCAGCGAATCACCCGGAGCAAAATCCCTCAGCCGTTGTAATTTTGACGAAAAATTACTTCCGAAAATACCACAACACTGTAACACAACAGTTAAGGAACATGCATAGCAACATGCTGAAAAAAAGTGTCGTATGAGCCTTCATACGTTGCCAAACTTCCTCCTATGTAACGAATTCACTAAGAAAATCGTGAATATTTTCCTTCAAAATTTTCAGACGATTTCGTACACAATTTGGTATAAAATATCTGAAAATCTTAAGAACAAATATGCATAACTTTCCTTAAAAATATATTTAATGCGGGGAGAACTGACGACTCTCAACTTTTCACGCGGCGTTTTTCCTTTGCAGACAGAATTGAACCTCCACCTGTATCCTGTACACGTCAAAACAAGGCGCAAATCTCAGGCAAAGCTCCTATTAGAGCAGCCGTTACCACGGCTACGGTCCCATACTGCTATACTGAGAAAAAACGCCGTAAGAGCCTTCACACGTTGCCAAATTTTCTTCGAAAAGGTACAAACTTACGGAAACTTTCGATTATTTCAAGAATGCGATTATTAATCAGATTAAATCACCTGAAAATTTCAATAGAAAATATTCGTAACTCTCCTTCAATAATACATCTCATTGGAGGAAATTTGACGGCTCGGATGTTCATACTGCGTTTTTCTTGAGCATGGCGGCATACCTTTGCAATTCATTACGATAAATGATTAAACGCTACATGGCGTTGCAAATAAGCCAGAAAAGAAGGCTAAATTGTATCGCTGCCAGCTTCAGCGGGTACTCAGAATTTTCCTCCGCGGAACCCAGTGTACCTGACTGATTTCGGCGGAGACTTGGCGGCCTCGGCGGATGATGAATGAGCGAAAGAACGGGGTACGAAAGTGGAAAATACGTTTTCATTAATATCTCAAAAGCGGGCAGGGTATTGAGTAATGGCGGAGAAAATCTGATTACGGACTGGAGGGAGAGGGAGGCGCGGTACCGTCGGAACTGGGGGGCCACTTGAGACACAATTATGCACTCAAAAGATTGCCGATGGGAGGGAGAGCTTCGTTGGGAGATCAGCTCACAAAATTTCGTAAGGACCTCGGCTAAACGTTCGGATCCGCCATTAATCGATCGAGGGAGAACTGCCGCAGCTTATCTCCAAAATTTAAAATACTGTTAAAAACTTAAGTATCAGCTGTTGTATTCCTAGCTTACACAAACAAATGTGTTATTAGTGGTGTAGTCGCGTAGGTGCGGATTAGGGGTTATCCCTTAAATTGTGGTGCCACCCAAATTTGTTGGATGATAGTAAAAAGATTGTACTGGAAAAAAACACTTCGTATCTCGAGTCCAGATTCTTGAAAACATTGACAAGAAAAAATACTCTTGATTCAATCAGATTTAAACTTAAATCAAAAGGAAATCCTCTTAAATTAAGAAGCTTGGTTCTTGATTTAAGCTTAAATCTGATTGAATCAAGAGTATTTTTTCTTGCTGATGTTTTTAAGAGTCTGGACTCTAGATCCAACGTGTTTTTTTTTTCTCCAGTGTGAAATAATCGAGCTACAAGCCCAAAAAATTAAACAAGTAATACTTCAAAGAGATGAGAAATACTAAACAAC